TTTTGGGGGGGGGGGGGGGGGCACTCAAAATTCTATTTAAAATAAAATTAATCCTAATTTTTCTAATACAGCTGTTTTTTAAATTAAATAAATGTATTTATTTTTTTAATGTCATGATTATGTTGCCGGTAGCTAATATTTGTATGTAAAGCGCGGTGAGCCCAGCTCTAGGCTGGGGCACAGCGCTCTAAAAGACCACTGTGAAAATACTAATGATAAAGTACTTTTAGAGAACAATAACAAAACTAGAAACAATCCTCGGATTGAAGGAGAGCAAACGTGTTATCCATATTTCAAAATAGTCTGCCTATTGTTTTAGTTTCCTTATCTGTCATGGCAAATCTCAATGACACTCAGCTGTAAGTATCACTGTGCGCAAAAAGAAAAGTGCGTCCCCGGGGGGTGGGGGTGGTGTTGTTGTTGTTCCCTGTATAGATCACAGTTGATTCGCGATTGTATTTAACACAAACAATTTTTTTTTTTTAAATTAAAGTTTCTTTACGTGATCCATTGAGCTAAAAATAAACTCTCCTCTATCGTGACTTGTTGGGTATATAAAGCTTCAAGGTGCGAGTCTGAGTTTGTCTTCTCTCCACCACTGAGTTTCTCTCCGTTGAGGTAAGGAATTAATCAAGAGGATTTTTAAAGTTGATTTTTCTCCCACATAGTCAAATATTGGGGAACTGCACAAAGACTTGGAAAAAAAAAGGATCTACGGCTAATCTAATTAATTTCAAGGAAATATTAGCGTACTTTACGGACTATAAGACGCTACGGACTATAAGACGCTACGGACTATAAGACGCTACGGACTATAAGACGCTACGGACTATATGACGCACCTTAATTTTGGAGACAAATTTTTCGAAGGAAAAAAGTGCGTCTTATACTTATAGTTCGTAAAATACGGTAATAATTGGATAACCAAACGAAATTACTTTGCTGATACGGAGGCTTATTTAACTTGACATCTACTGGCCCACTGTTAATGGAATTGGGATGGGGAGGAAGACCCCCCCCCCCCGAACCCTAAAATAACCGGCGATAGTCGTACTATCGCTTACAATTATAAAATGGGCTCTACGGGCCGATACGGCGGGTCGGCATTAGCAGGGTCCGTTAGGATACGAGACCGCACTGTTAAATGTTAAGTTCTCTACTTGCTCACACTTGCTAAGAGTCAAGAGTGATTTCAAACCATGAGCACATGCTCCACCCCCATTCACGAATGGATATGCTTGTTGGTCAGAATTTTATTTTTTTAAATTTTAAATTCAATAAAAAACAATTTTTTTTTTATGAAATTGTAGTTTTAAGGTAATGAGATCAATCTTTTTAAACGAAATATGTATTCCTTACTCTGACATTCAGCCGTCAAAAATGATAGCAATTTCATAGACAGTCTGATATATGGACGATTTTATGATTCTCTCTCGATGCGAATCATAGATTGGGTGATTTATCCACATTATCATGATTGGTGCAGTTTTCGTTGAGGGCCGGGCTTATGAAGTCCAAAGTGTTATTGAACATATGAACAAGTTTTGAATTGGCAATACTAGTATGGCGTTTTCGTCGTATATTTTGAACGGAGAATTTGCTAAGAAGTTACTTGTAGCATTATCACCACTGTATTTGGTGGAAAGTTTTTTTCGTGCGATCTTTCGGCTTTGATAACGCAAAGAAATGCGAAGATAGACATGAAGTTCCCATTAAGAAACTTAAACCACGGCATTGGATGTTTCAGCAGCATTCAGCATGGCACAAGAAAAAAAAAAAAAAAAAAAATTTAGAAGGTTTCAAGAGTATTTGGCTAATGTTAAAATCGGTTACGACTTTAACCATGGCATTGTGTACTTATCTTGCATAGAAAAAGGTGCAAACTATTGTTACAAAACGCTATTAATAGTGTAGGCCGGGAGGAGTGCGCTAAGATTGAGTTTATGGTCGGAAAACGACAATTTAAGAACAACTGCTCTGGCAGGTCTGCAAGCGCGCGCACGAGCGTCAAGGGTGATAACTTCAGGGGCGGCCTTTAGGGTGTGCAACCCGTGCCCTCGCACAGGGCGCCCAGCAAATATTTAAATTCCATACGTTTAGTATAGTGAAGTGTGAACCTAAGGTCTAGGGTCGAGAAACTTTTCGTACACGGCGTGTGCTAAGGGCGCCATCAACGATCGTCCCAAAATAGGAAACAGAATTGTATGTGGGCGCCATGGAAGAAAAATAGAAAGTGCAATAAAAAAAGATATTCTGATACAAGTTAACAAAAACAATTTTATTGTTCATTGTTTGATTTTAAAAAAAAAACGTAAATGATTATACTAAAAAGGGTCACCAAAGTTAAGCTTGCACAGGGCGCCAGCAACCGTCAGGCCGGCCCTGATAACTTTCCAACTGAGATATTCAGTGGGGTTGACTTCGCTCCCGGGGGCCTTTCCTAACCTAGTGAAAGCCGCCATTCATTTTAAATGCTTCTTTTTCTCCGAAAAAAAAGTGAAAACCCAAAGTCCACAGCCATATATACATCAGTGTATGAATTATTGGAATGCGTCTCAGTCAGATTCATGTGAATCATTGGAATATGTCTTTATCGTCTCCAGCAATACAAGTGACTAAGGATGATTGCGCCAACATTTCTCATCTTGCTCATCGTCGGCTCCATCTCGGCATTGCCCCTTGTTCACATTGGGGTGAGTACACGCACGCAGGCGGTCCGTTTGTGGGGGAATGGTTTTGTGCGCGTGTGTCTGTGTGTGCGAGGGGTGGGGAGGGAGGGGGGGTCTGTGGTATGACGTGAGATAGGATTAGACTTTCCAGAAGACTCACATGTTGTTGTACTACGAGGTATCGCTAAGTAGCACAACTTTTCCTCTGCTTTTAAATGTTAATTATTTTGAATGGTTAAGTGTCTTGCTTTTCAGTATTAATTATTTTGAATGGTTGACCATATTCTATTTTTATCAATTTTCCCCTCATATTTAATTTCATTTAAAGGTTAAATTTAAAAGTTTATGTTTTATTTTAAAGGAGAAAAAAAGAAGATCAATTCTTGACATGAATATTAAGCATTTTCCAGGCCCTATCAAGCTGCAAAAATGTCAAAACTGCCCCATTGCATGGGCGCCCGCAGAGGGGCAAGGGGGGCACTTGCCCCCCCCTGGATTGATTGGATAATTTTTTTTTATACAAAATAGACAAAAAATGTATTAAAGGAAAGAGAAAATAAAGAGAAAGTAACTAAGCTGATGTCCTGTCCGTTCGTTCACCATACAAATACGCTACAGTAAATTAAAACTACACTAAAACATTGCTAAAAAATTGTTGCCCTCCCCCTAGAAAGTTAATCGATTTTTTGCCCCCCCCTAGAAAGTTTTCTGTGGGCGTCCATGCCCCATTGTGTTGTTGTTTTTTTTTAACCCCTTTTGTTATGATTATTTGGAATCGCCCAATCCCAAAATATTTGGTATGATTGTAAAGATGGGGATTTCCGGGTCAGGATAAATATAGCTTTTCATCATCAAGAAAATGACGAATGTAACCGAACCTTTCAATCGCCGGCCATTTCTAGAAAAGATTTGTATTTTTCTGACATACTATTTTTCATTGATAATTTCATTGTTTTTGTAGTTTTTCTTCTTTATTTCATTTGTCCTTTTTTCAACAGTTTTGGTCACCAATATCTTTATAACTATTGCCTTTTTATGTATTATCCAAGCCTTCCCAAATTTTCCCAGTAAGTTCAATGATCAATAGTAAAAAAATTGAATCACCTTCAATTAAGATAACTATCTTAGAAAAGAAAATATTTTAAAAAGTTCACCCAGACCGCTATTTTTTGCACAGAAAAAAAAAAAATGAGTCACATTTTGTGACCATGTTGATTTAGAACTAGTCATTACATCAAAAAGTCCTGTTATTCAAAGTTTTATAATAGGTTAAATAGTATAAGCTTAAAACATGATGGCAACAACTTAATATTTGTAAAAGCATAAGTGTTTTTTAAAAACGCTTTATAAATATATAAATTGCGATTGTTTCTACTGGTTACCAAGGCAACAAATGGATTTTTTTTTAAAACCTGTTTTGTACCTCTATTACAACACCCAAAAAGGGGTAGGTAAAAATAATTCCTTATGAAGGCAAACAAAAATGTTAGATTTTGCACCCACACCTCCCCAAAAAATCTGAATGGAGTAAATGTATTCTTTTATTTGTCTACAGATTCCACAAACTCAAATTGTTGACCTCCAAGATAATGCCCTTACCGATCTTATTACCCTTGTCACTGGCATCCTAGGCAGTGGAAAGAGAGACCTGGCGCAGCAAGAGAATGCTCTGACCGATCTTATTACCCTTGTTACTGGCCTTCTGGGCAGTGGAAAGAGAGACCTAGATAATGGCCTTACCGATCTTATTACCCTTGTCACTAGCATCTTAGGCAGTGGAAAGAGAGACCTCGCACAGCAAGAGAATGCCCTGACCGATCTTATTACCCTTGTTACTGGCCTTCTAGGCAGTGGAAAGAGAGAACTAGACAATGGCCTTACCGATCTTATTAACCTTGTCACCAACATCATAGGAAGTGGAAAAAGAGACCTCATTCAACAAGAAAATGCCCTAACTGATCTTATTACCCTTGTCACTGGCATCTTAGGCAGTGGAAAGAGAGACCTCACCCAACAAGAAAATGCCCTAACTGATCTTATTACCCTTGTCACTGGCATCCTAGGCAGTGGAAAGAGAGAACTAGATAATGGCCTTACCGATCTGATTACCCTTGTTACTAGCATCCTAGGCAGTGGAAAGAGAGAATAAGATAATGGACTTACCGATCTTATTACTCTTGTCACAAGCATCCTAGGCAATGGAAAGAGAGAACTAGATAATGGCCTTACCGATCTAATTACCCTTATCACTGGCATACTTGGTGGCGGAAAGAGAGAACAGGATAATGGCCTTACCGATCTTATTACCCTTGTCACTGGCATCCTTGGCGGTGGAAAGAGAGAACAGGATAATGGCCTTACCGATCTAATTACCCTTATCACTGGCATCCTTGGGGATGGAAAGAGAGAACAGGATAATGGCCTCACTGATCTTATTACCCTTATCACTGGCATCCTTGGCGGTGGAAAGAGAGAACAAGATAATGGCCTTACCGATCTAATTACCCTTGTCACTGGCATCCTTGGCGGTGGAAAGAGAGAACAAGATAATGACCTTACCGATCTTATTACCCTTATCACTGGCATCCTTGGCGGTGGAAAGAGAGAACAAGATAATGGCCTTACCGATCTTATTACCCTTATCACTGGCATCCTTGGCGGTGGAAAGAGAGAACTAGACAATGGCCTTACCGATCTTATTACCCTTATCACTGGCATCCTTGGCGGTGGAAAGAGAGAACTAGACAATGGCCTTACCGATCTTATTACCCTTATCACTGGCATCCTTGGCGGTGGAAAGAGAGAACTAGACAATGGCCTTACCGATCTTATTACCCTTATCACTGGCATCCTTGGCGGTGGAAAGAGAGAACTAGACAATGGCCTTACCGATCTTATTACCCTTGTAACCAACATCCTCGGCGGTGGAAAGAGAGACCTCACCCAACAAGAAAATGCCCTTACCGATCTTATTACCCTTGTCACTAGCACCCTAGGAAATGGAAAGAGAGAATTCATCCAATAAGAAAAACGATATCATAACTGATTTCATTATTTTTTTTGTCCAGTTCGTGGCCATGAATCAGCCTGACTGACGTTTTAACATTTTTGTTTTGTTTTTTGTTTTATAAGATGGTTCCAAAAATAAACCACTGTCAATGATTAAAAATTATTTTAAAATATTTTTTGTGTGCAATTGAAGAAAGTGTGATCTTTAATAAACTGACATAAATGTCCTATTAAATTTAATTACAGCACCATTTAGGGTTATAAGCTTCACCATGTTGGACTCTGCTCGCTTTGTAGAGATCCGGTTTCAAACGCGCCAGATTATCTTACCACTTGGCTACCGAAGTCTTAGCGCTGAAGGAGACACTAATATGTGACAAAACTAATGTTGCCTTGATAAAAAATATAAATTTAAAAATACATTTGAGTCTTACAGTAAGGAATTGAAGTCCATTGTGGTTTAATTTGATATTACCGTCTACATTCAATCAAATCCTTTCGCTACACGATACGGAACGAGTGTTGTGTGGTTGATTCGGAACGTGTGTTGTGTGGTTGATACGGAACGTGTGTTGTCTGATTGATACGGAACGTGTATTGTGTGGTTGAAACGGAACGTTTGTTGTGTTGTTGATACGGAACGTGTGTTGTGTGGTTGATACGGAACGTTTGTTGTGTGGTTGATACGGAACGTGTGTTGTGACAACTTCTGGCATGTCGATAACATACAGATTAAAATTGAAATACTATAAAGTAGCAAATAAATAAATACAACTTAAAAAAAAACAACTTGTTTTTAAAAGAATTCCCAACAGAAAGTTATTTAAACGCAGTAAAAAGTAGAAAATAATTAAAAATTTATAACAATGTGTTACGCCAAGATATTCCGTGCAGAGAGTTTTTTTTCAAAACATTAATAAAAATAAAACTTATTTAAGTTTGGACTCTAATTTGAATCCTTTGGCTACATAGAGTGATCATCTATACATATGCGATGTCTTACAGCGATACCCAATGGTATTAATACTTACTGAGTGGATCAATCTTGTCCGCCCCGCTCTCATTGTTTACCGTACTGTGCTCTCATTTGCTTCTCCCCCCCCCCCCCACTGCCATATGTTTTATCACTTACGCATCAAATCCACACACAAGAGCACACTTGTTACCCGCCTTGTCTTACAGCGATCACCAATGGTATTAATACTTACTGAGTGGATCAATCTTGTCCGCCCCGCTCTCATTGTTTACCGTACTGTGCTCTCATTTGCTTCTCCCCCCCCCCCACTGCCATATGTTTTATCACTTACGCATCAAATCCACACACAAGAGCACACTTGTTACCCGCCATGCTGTGTGCTGTGTGCTGTGTGCGGACTTGTGGTCGTCATGCTAAGCATTGGTGGATACATGGACTGCCATCTGATAGTATTAGTATAAATTATATATTATATTATTTTTAAACTTAGTGTGTGTGTGTGTGTGTGGTCAAATCTTGCGTCTCAAGTTTTACCCGCCCCCTGAATAGGTTACCTATCGAAAATGGGTATATAGATAGTTTTAAAGGCTAGTGAAATAATATACTTCCCTTTCTACCACAAACACATTTCTATGGAAAGAATGGGGCTGTGTTCATTTTTAATTGAATCGCAATATATTTAAATCTGATGATACTACAGTCTTGAAAAAATAGGTTTTCATTTTTCATTTTTTTTTTTTTTGTATTTAGTAAATTCGTGTTACAGAAAGGCCTGAAAATTGAAGTTCAAGGACTTTGACACATTTTTGGCCACATTTACACAAGAGTACCTACCCATTACCTCAAAACTCAGCGAAGTTGCCAAAGTGAGAATAGTAGATACGATTTTCTTTGAAACTAAGGACATCGCGCGTTTTCCATCTTTACAGTTCAGGGGCGAGAATACGGTGTGGGCACATATTTATGAGGGTAACCATAATTTTATGGTTAAAAAAAGTATCTGTCAAGATTTCATGAAAATACATTTTAAATGTGAAAGATCGAGAGTGGCGACATTTTTATGTGGATGACAATATCTAAAAACACAAAAATATTTAAAGACGGGAACATCTAAAATTTAAACTTAAAAATAATAGATACAATTTTTGTATATACTGTGGTACCTCGACATACGAGTGACCTAACATACGAGATTTTTGAGATAAGAGCAGTCGATCGAGCGATGTTTCGCTTTGAAATGCGAGAAAAATTTGAGATACGAGGGTCAGCGGGTCGGCCGGCTGTACACGAACACACCAGTCGTGCCTCGTGCGTCTCACAGTGTCAGTGTGCTTGCTTGCCTCGCTGTCGGAGCATCTTTGATAAGTTGTGCTCGCGAATGGTGCTTTTTGTGCATTTACAGTAATTGATCACATTTCTTTTTATCACCATGGGTCCGAAGAAAGTGATTGGAAAAGTCAGTGCTCAGAAGAAGATGATGTCTATTGAATTAGAGCGAGAAATCATAGAAAAACACGAGTAAGGTGTGCGAGTGACTGACTTGGCGAGGCAATACGGGCGCAGTACTTCAACGATATGTACTGTGCTTAATCCGAAGGAGTCAATAAAGGGTATAACGCCAGCTAAGGGCGTTACAATAATTTCTAAACTCCGTGCCTCTCTCTATGAAAAGTTGGAGAAACTGCGGATGATGTGGGTGACTGAGAAGCAGCTTGAAGGAGTTCCTTAACGTAGGGCACTTTATAGAAAACATTTTATTTCTTAACATTCTCTTTTATTGTGTTTTTATGTTATACAATATTTGTCATTTATAAATACATTTTTCTTATTCAAAAACACGTAACAAAAAAACTGGGGTGACATTTTGGAGGCTGGATCGGATTAATGTCATTTTAATTAATTTCAATGGGGAAAATTACTTTGAGATACGAGCAATTTGACTTAAGAGCAAGGTTACGGAACGAATTAAATTCGTATTTGGAGGTACCACTGTAGGTGTAAAAAAAAGTCTTTGTTAAAAGCTTTTTTAAAAAACTGTAAAGGGAACATATGCATATTATTCTAAAAATGTAAAGTTGTTTCAATGATTGTCTCTCTTTAAAAAAATAAAATAATAATAATAGATTATTTGTGTTCATTAAATTATTTAATTTACAAGGGACCTAGCTTCGTATTCTTAAAATGTAACGTTCTTCCAGAGGTTGTTTCGCTTTGTCTTAACTTTTTCAGCCTTACCATCATGCCTAGGGAATTACCGTATTCGGAAATTTGTTTGAAAGAAATTTCGTTGACGGAAAAATTAATCGACGGAAATTTGATCGAACAGAAAGCTGGTCGAATACTTTTTTCAGTTCACATGTTAAAATTTTGCGCCAAATTTCTTTTTGAACGCATTATTTTGTTTTACTATAAAGTATAGTGCGTTCAAAAAGAAATTTGACGCAAAATTTTAACGTGTGAACTGAAAAAATATTCGACCGAATTTCAGTTCGATCGAATTTCCGTCGATCAATTTTCCGTCGACTAAATGTCTTTCAAACAAATTTCCGGTAATCGGGAATTACTAGTGTCGATTCTTTTACACTTTGTTGTGATGTATCTTCCTTAATGGATCGTGTGAACTAATATTTTTAAAGATTCTTTATATAAAAAAAGGGGGTGGGGGCATGTTTTCGTTTATTTAAACAAAGGAAAGGTCAGGAAAAGTTTGAGGACCACTGCTCTTATCTATTACACAAAGGCCTGTATGAGAATGTATTTATTTTACAATGTATTTTTGTTTAAGGATGGCAAGCAAAATAAGCACTGCATTCAGGTATGTGCAAAATACAGCCTTGAATTTTAACTACGGTACAGGTACATCAAATAGTTCTAGGGGTTTGCTCACTGAGCCCCTCCCTCAGACACCCCCCCCCCCCCCGGCTTTCACTTCGGAGCCATCGTCACGCACGAGTTCTGCAATTCCCCAATACAAATGGCATCTTTTTATTACGAAAGGAAATACAACACTGGATGTTATACCCCCCCCCCCCCCCCGGCTTTCACTTCGGAGCCATCGTCACGCACGAGTTCTGCAATTCCCCAATACAAATGGCATCTTTTTATTACGAAAGGAAATACAACACTGGATGTTACTAATAAAATTATTGTCGTTATCTGACATAAATAATGTTCCTTTCAATTGTATAATATATTTATTAGGGTTACCGGAAATTTGATCGAAAGAAATTTCGTCGACGAAAAAAATTGATCGACGGAAATTTGATCGAACGGAAATTTGGTCGAATCTTTTTTTCAGTTCACACGTTAAAATGTTCGTCAATTTCTTTTTTAACACACTATACTAAATAGTGAAACAAAATATTGAAGGCTTGGTATTATTAAAAAAAAAAAAAAAGTAAATTGGCCAGAGACAATCTGATAGTTCAGTTGTTACCAAAAATTTTGTCTCACCAAGCACTTTTTAGAATAAATTTCTATTAGGGGGGTCCCCTTTTAAGGTTTATCGTACCCTGTATCCTACAAGTTAATGGTATTGAGGACCTTCCTGGAGCAAACGATAAGTACATGGGATGCAGGTTGGGAACCACTGTGATAGATAATTGTGATATTATTTATTAAGATTAATTTATTTTCTTTATCAGTCTTTAGATTTGGTTCGACGAAGAAGACGTTATAATTAATGATATTGATTATTTAATATATTTGTTTGTTGTTGTATCTTTCAACCCAAAGGCTACATTATTAAAAATGTACAATATTGGCGACCAGAAACATTTTTTGAGCAAAAGGGCCATTTGAAACAATTAAATCTGTTAAGAAAATATTTTGGGAGCCACTGAGAGGGCCGACTATTTAAATAGCATACCTTAACTTTCTTATAGAGAATTTAAAAATCAGATCTATTAGTGTTATTTTTTTTACTTTGGTTGCATGACATTATGCACGAGAGGGTGTGTGTGTGAGAGAGAGACAGATAGAGAACGTGAGAGAGCTTAGGAGATAATGGGAGAGAGAAAGAGAGAACGAAAGAGAGAGAGTGAGAGAACGAGATTGAAAGAGGGAGAAAGAGAGAGAGGGGAAGAAAGAGAGAAAGATAGATAGATTTAGATAGATAGATAGATAGATAGATAGATAGATAGATAGATAGATAGATAGATAGATAGATAGATAGATAGATAGAT